AGAAGGGCGAATATGATACTTGGCATATCATTAGCTATTGTTAGCAGGCTGTAATATAATTTTTTTCTCTGCTGGGTTATTCCATGCGACACCTTGGCTCAAGGTAACATCTTTACAAAATTATGTTGTCGAATGTGGAAAAATGACGTGTCTATCTGAAAGTTAATTAGACTTTCGATCCAACTCTATGTAGTTTGGTACAAACTTAAACTCTATAGTTTAAGTTTGGTACAGTAAGAGGTTAAAAAATACGCAATCACAATATCTTTTGTTCTATTATACAGTGACAATATATATCATATCTATATGACAGTGCTCTACAGAGGACACAGTGCTCTAGTTTGCAGGGAATACCTGTCCTTCTGTTATGTTATATGTACATTCTATATACGACATTGTATTAACTGTGTGAAACAAATAATAATAGTTCTATTGTCCTTTAAGACAGTTATTTTAATCTGGTGCCAAATGTTAATTATTTAATTTTATACAATTAATGGTAATATCGGTCATATTCGTAGATCTCTTTAAAATAAACCACAGTATAACAAAAATGAACGTTTCTTTAAAATCTCTTCTTTCTATTGAAATTGAAGTTTTGATATGACGATATTTTCCAGGTTGGTCTCAAAGTCACTATCATTCTCCAACTGCAACTGAAAAGCAACTGATTCACTACAATAATTATTCATAACTTGCCCTTGGTAGCTATTCGCAATATTAATAGATTTCAAATTCGTTCCTCCATATTAGTTTATATATAGTCATTTAAAAATAATCTTTTTTAACATAAGATGACTTCTCTGTATACCACTAAAGCGAGGAAATAACCCACTTAGAAGTGGCACTTTTTACGCCCAATAAAAGCTAAATTTTGTTATCTCGTTAAGGATAAACGTTTTATGAACTTCTAATATTTCAAAAAGAACTCAAGAATAACAAAATCCTGTTCGTATTGCAGCAAATAATACAAATAAGAATACTCTAACTTTTATGAACTTAAATTAAAGGATTTTTATATCCTAACCATTAAGTTTTATTGGAAATTATTGCGAAAATCGGCCGCTTATAATATTTTCGGCCAAAAAGTGCCAAACCTACACAGTTTGGGAAGGAGTCCATTTACTGTCCGAGTTAGCGGTTGAGAAGGGCTGCGTTGTGCAATTTTCATATAAATTCGGTATCGATTATGATGATTGGAATTTATGAAAATAAACCATAACGATTCCCACACATATGAACCCATTCGGCACATTCGACAGGACCTGCATTTTCGTATCCTTACATTTCACACACTCAATTGCGTGAAATTATTATTGCTCATCAAAATTGACTTTTAGCAGTAAAAACGCACGTTTCGAATTCTTTAATAGAAATTGACCGCCAATCGCTTTAACCCTTTGTTGTGTGCCCTTTCAGCCCAACACATGGATGTGTTCTAAGGACTCTGTTATCCTTTCGATTTGTGTTTATAGTTTTTCATTTGCGTTTATTGCCATTTTTATGTGAAATTGGCAATTGGTAACATTTAGCGAAAATATGTTTTTCATAGGCTCAATTTTTATTCTTGTGTGATCATTTCAGATATTTCACCTTTATGAAGGCATTGTTATCCTTTTTATTGCGAAACTTAGTTTTTATTGTAAATGAATTTAATGCTGAGATATTGTGAGTGGAATTTTAATTTTTTCTATTTTTTCTGATATTGAATTCAACGAGGAATGTTTGCTTATGCTAAAGAATTGAACTAATATGAGGCCGTTTTCTGTGGAAAATATTCAGAGAGCTGGCGTGTTGGTCACAATACATTATTTTGAGGAAACGGAACAGAATGGGTCGTTCTTATGTTTAAAGCAGTAAAGGAATTGTAAGCTCAACAGTTGGGTTATGTAGAAGTCGGTTTCTATATTTCCATAATATTTACCTTACGATGTTTAAAATCAAACCAAAGATCCATCTTCTTTTATCATCTTCCTCCCCATTGTTGTATACTACGCTTTCTTCCAAGTTGTATATATGTTGCAGTTCATACGCGAGGATATCCCTCGAAATCATCGATGAATTACAGTGATTGCATTACCAAGCACTGTCCGGTAGGAGCTTGCCACCCCGGTACACTTATGTCATAACTTGATATTATGGCAGCAACATATGCGTCTTTAACTATGTTCTCTGCCAAAATCAGTGAAAAGTATGATTAAGCTTACTGCTTTTTCCAAAAACTTTTGGCTAATTAGATGTGATGTTTGCCACGATACTAGAAGGTGCACAGTTCACCTTGTCTGCCTTCTCTTTTGCAGTTGTTAGGTGTCGTTTAAAGTAAGTACATTAATTTGATGACGAACAACTCAAACTTAATGAACTTTTGTGCCTTAAACGTTTTTATTAATAAAGCCTCAGCATTTTTTACTGCCAACTCCAAGTCTACATATTGCAACTAACTTATAATGAAATCAATCACTTCCATATAATGTGTTTATAGATTTTTAATAATTTTCTTTACCACATCGCATTTTCTTTATCATACATAGCAATTCATAGCGTTGGTCCGACCACTGAACCTTGAAGGACAATAAAGTAAATCTGTTTTGTCATGCCCGATCATCGGAACCGTAGAAAAAAAGCTTGTTTTTAAAGTAATGTGAAATTATCTTGGCAAATAATCTTAAGTTTCGAATATATTGAGGACTTGATGATTTTTGTAAAATTTTCAACTTTTTTCGCTCGTAGCTTCATAAGTTATACACAAGTCGGATTACATAGCTCCCATCGCCAACCTGATACTTTGGTAATGAAATTGATCTGAGGACAACACTTGTAGTCCTTCCTAAGTCATTGCAAGTTTATCTCATCTGTGGGATGTGTCGTTTTTGGTAACTTAATTTATGGTTCGTACTGCAACTGAAACTTTTTCAGAAGAGGATTGAAACTTTCAAGAAAATTTCCAATGTATCACTGAGTTGTTGGTTAATTTTAGTTTATTCAAAATTGCAATAAAGTAAAGTGCACTTTTAGACGATTCAGTACAAAAGTTGCTTCTTTGTTGTATAATCTTCAACAAAAATAATTTATTTAATATAAATAAATATAACATAAACATCAGGAAAATTGTAAGCATAATGAATTTACTGAAAAACGATAATCTATAGTAGATGATAGCGTAATGGATAAAGATGGACAAAGATTGTGTGTTTTGTTGGGTCTATGAATGTGACAAGCTTCATGTTGAATTTAAATTGCAACATTTGAAATCCTTTTTTTTGGAAGTATATATAATAAAGTCTGTTTCTATCAGAAGAAAGGACAATCACAAAATAGGAAAACTGATTTCTCGGCCCTGGTATCACGGTTGCTTAGTCCATCACTGGCTAAGATACCTCACGTTGGAAATGAAAGTGAATGTATTGAATAAACGCTTTCCAATAATAATATTTGATAATATATTTGAGGATAATTTTTTTATTCTCTTGAACAGGGCATAGTTGACCGATCATGAATGTCCGCTTTAGAGAGTTTTTACTGTTTTAAAAAGTTGAATTATTGTCACGTTGGTAACATTTTGCAGTAATATATTTATTGCATATATTGTAATGCATATATAAAGTAATGTATATATCTAAAAAATAACCTAATAGGTCTTAGTACAATATTTTAGCTAATTACTATTGTACCTAATAACTTCAATTTGTAAGTTGTAATATTTTTTATACTTATTTTTTACTATACACTTTGTGTTTCTTATTAAATATTCTATTTACTTACTTTTTATTTTCTACCTTCAAACGATTCTTTACTTTGGAACAATTGTGACCAATATCCTTAATAATGGAACTACACAAATCGTCTAAAGTTAGCTGTCAATCAGTGAAAAATGTAGGTAAACACGCGTGCTTAATGATGTTTAAAGTCAATATTTTATGATTACCGATTAATAAGTGGCCAAGCAGGGTAATTAATTAAATGGACTGTATTTGCGGAGAAAATACAGTTATATGAGTGTTCAATACTATTGCATTGGTTAAGAGGAGGCGGCAGATATGCAGTGTAGGTATGAAGAATAGAAGTGAGCCCAGAATTGACATTTATAAGACAAGGTAATAATTAAAAACTTTCAATTAAATATAGAAAAGGTGTTCATTTAAATAATTATATACTTAATTCAAATAAAAAATAACTAACTATAATTACAACTTCACTTGATTTGTCATACTAAATCTTCTCTAAGTTGGGGAACATTTTTATCCCTTTTTGCACACATAAATTGCGCAGTTAATTTTCTTATAAATATAACAGTTTTGAAAAGTTTCGAAATTAATGTAAGTCTATATTCTATGTTTTATTTTCGAAATTCTCCAACTTTAATTTTGTTTCATCAGGGCGCATGCCTTAAGAAATGGCGGCAGTTTTGATACTCTTTCGAATATGAATATTTGTTATTGCAATAAACAAATGGCAACTACAATCCTTTCCTCTCAGAAACTACATTCAAAACAATTTTAGTAGCACTTGTTGCATTTAGAAAAGTAAAAGGGTTGTGGGCCAATTTATTCAGTGCATCTCGATTAAGAGTTACTGTTCCTGAATTTACTAAGCGCTAAGTAAAAAGAAGATATAAACATCACTATTATAATGGAAATTGAATAATGTTTATTTTATCTTCAAAACAGTAAATCCTATCACTTCACTTACGCATGTAATAAGTGCCCAAAATGTTTGAAATATATAATATAATATATAAATACGTTTTAAAAGAATAATAGTTCAAATGGCAGCTAACAGCATCAATATTGTGAAAGCAAGAAAGAAATGACAGCTATTGCAATCAAAAGAAAGTAAAAATTAGTTCGAAAAATCACTGAAAAAGCAAATGTACTTTTAAATATTTTTACTAAAAGAAAAAACACTGTATTAATCATAAAAAAAAAATTTATTGAAAAATACATCTGAGCCAAAAAAATAGTATAATATAATTAATAATTTCTAATTATTAAGTATACCAGTGCTGACAGTTCAATCAAACTGTCTGAAAACGAGTCTTAAAAAAAACACTCAGATTTATTTTTTATATCCTTTATACCTTTATACGTTTATTATTTTAATCCCAGTGAGTCTTCTCTTTTTTTTCTTGCAAAGAACAAATGAATTGAGCCATCATCTGAAACAAGAACATCATCTGAAACGTATGTTACGCTTTTGCACTTCAAAGTAATATAATCACTACATCCTTCATCAGTTGCAATAGATTTAGATGATAGCTTCAACACACCTGCACGCTAAAGATTGATTTCGTCTAGCTGTGTTTTGGTACCCAATGGATTGTAATCGTTAACTTGTAATCGTAATTTTGTATACATTTATGTGATACTCTGTTCTGCTAAGTAAAGGAAATCACTTAGAGGTTCTCACAATCCTATTGGAAGCTTCATAGCGCCCTAAACATAACTGGAGTCGCAATCGCTTTCAGTATTTGCAAAACTACTATTACTGAAACGTGGCATTCTTAACTATTTCTAAAAACAAAATAGAATATAAATGAATCAGAAAGTTATGATAATATTGTGTAATGTAATTGAAATATATATAATAGGTATATGGGTTTAAAATTGTTTTCAAGTCTCTCATTATATGATACATCACAGCCTCTTCAAAAAGTAAGGTATTATCTATAATAGAATAATAATAATGTTGCGAAAGCGGATCAATAAAAATATATCTAAAAGATAAGAAAATGCTGACTGCAGGAGTATTCGCTTAGACCACAAATTTTAAAATTGTCATTTACGCTACTTTTTAAAATTACAAGCCTAATGGAAAATAAATTTGTATATATTTACCTTGACCACAGGTTATATTTATATGGTTTTTAATGTACTATCACATCTAATGGATCTGCTTCACATCCACTTAATACCGCAATATCTTTCATCCATAACCAATTATTAATGTCCTGCAAAGTACGTATCCTCCACATATGATTTAAGTAATCACTTAATAATTTTCCACCACCCAAATTTTTATTTTAAAATCTAAAATAAAAAATACACAAAATTTGTTAATACAAATTTTACTAAAAATATATACTCGTATATTTTTATTTCTAACCTTAATACAAAAGTATTAATAATGCTAATAACAATGCTAATAAAAAGGAATTGCCAACCTACTGTTAGAATAAAAATATTATAGTTCAAAACCCAAATAGTTAAAACAATTATGTATCAACAATGTCCATAACAAGTGATTTACTTACTATTTTTATTATTGGAAAAGACAATAGTAAACTGCGTCCCTTAATGTCCACTTGCTTTCGCTGGACGATATATTGTAAACGAGGTTAGAATAGGCTTAAGAGGCACGTCCTGGTGCAAGACAATTATAGCCCATTATAAGCTATATTACCATTGATTCCAAAACAACTTCAAGCGTTATTCTTTTACATCATTTGGTTTTGGTTCAGATAAAATAAAGAAGATCCGATAAGTTCACTTTTACTTAGTATTACTAAGTTGGAAATAATCTTCTAGGCTAGAGCTGCTTCATCTGTAGGCCCGAACAAAGACAAAAAGCGATTGATAAATTAAACTTCTACTTCATCGAGGCAACTTCTATATAATTTATTTGCTCAAATATGCCAAAATTGAACCATTAGTGTAATTGCTCAGTATCTCGTTAGTACTGCAATAAGCACAGTAGCTACAAGTTTGTTCAAACTCAGAAGATCTTCTGTTCTTCTATATAATATGAGTAAAAAACTGTTAACGATTTTACAGTCTATGCTATTTGTCCAGACTTTTTTGCGGCACAGCAATAGTCTACGAAGGCAATGGTATTCATCTAATGGGGATCACAGCGGTCTTAAATTATTATCAGTAAATTACTGATAATCGTTCATTTTATGATAATCATTGAATTCATTTTATGATAATCGTAGTGCACGAGTAAATAAAACAGATAGTATTTTATTAAGTCTACAAGTCTATTAAGTTCAAGTTGTTACTGTCCTTTAATACAATCCTTAGAAACTCTTCTATATATATTAGTCCTAAAAGAATCGGGTACTATACGGCAGGGATTAACTGTATTTCTCCTTCATAGCACCGTATTTGCAAACGCTTTTGCTTCCTTATACTAAATCAATCTTCTCTGACCTAATAATATGTTTTTCAATAGAACTGCCACTTTAATCCACCAAAGCACTATGACATGGACACATTTTTTGCTGCTTTCACGAAAAAAATTTAAATACTTCTACTTCTACAGTTGTGTTAATGCACATTTTCAGACATATAATTTTTACTACATTTCGTGTGCATGTAGGTGCCAACAATATGACTTAAACTAATGTGCATGTATAAATATTTTTATTGTATATTTAAAAAAAATGATAATCAACACGCTTATTAAAAATTTCATGACATAATGCAGCCATCGCCCATACTGACTCCCTGACAGCTTAATGCATGTCAATTCGCAAAAAACGGTAAACACCGCGCGACAGTAATGTAACCTGCAGTTTTTTACTTCAGCACACCTCACCCCATCTAAATTGCATAATAAAAATTGCGAAATAAAGCAATCGTGCAATTATTCGCTCAACAATTCAAACTCGAGCGCATATCTAATCGCTGTTCTGCTAGTCGCAGCGAGTGGTTCAGCAAACCATCCCTGTCCATGCCTCCACAACTCCATATGCACATGTCGTACTCTCTTTCATACTTCACTTTTTTATTGCTTGTAATCGTTTTACACACAACGATTTCTGTCATGCGAATTGTCGGCAATTGGCAAATTGCATTGCAATGTTTTTGCTAGCCGCTTAAACCCTCGTCCTTCGTCTTTCGTCCTCCTCTCCTCACGTTTTTGCCTTGCTCTGCTTTCATGTTCTAATGACTTTTAAAATATTCAAATTGCAATTTATAATCGTAACTAAATCATCATCAACATTGTCATGTCCATGTCCATGTCCATGTCATTGTTTAGAATAAAGCTTTCGTAGAGGTCTGTCGTGTTAGCGGTCGTTCCACGTATCCATGCACAATTTTGCAGATTTCATTTTTTATTTTAGTGATAATTTTTCAATTTGTGTTAATATTGTAGCGTCCGTTTGGGGCTTACACAACAAAAACTGAACATTAATGCATTAGATTTTTTTGTACTTACCGCGATTGTTCCATCTAATGAACACTTAGCGCAATTTAATTTTTATCTTTTAACAAAAACTAATAAAATCACATAAACTTTCTAACTTTTGCAATTTAACATTTTGCAACTGAAACTGAAACTCTATGAATGCAAACTTTTTAAACTTGTAACTTAAAATCAAGATTAAATTGGAATTAAAAAAATTGTACTTGATAAAAGATAAATAATTATATAAATGTAAGTTAAATTAAACTATAAAATCGTAAAGAAAAAATTACCTCCATATATGCAATACATTATATGAGAGCCTAAGTTTTGAAACTAATGTATGTTTTCTTATTAAGTTCTAAACCATTAATAACTGATTGGATGAAAATGTATGACTATTTAGTTATATAGAAGGGTACCGTCTTCCTCTATCCCTATCAAACAACATTATTATCATTAGAAGAAACGATAATATGTCACAAATTAAGAAATCTATTATCCGATCGCTAGGAAGAGTTTTTCAATCTCATTCTTTATATAGATGAAGGCCATCTACAAAGCTTATAATATCATAATAATGTTTTCAGAACGTTTTTTATTCAGTGAAAACCTGATGATGATACTGGATTTGCTACTCATAATTCTAAAACAAAATTAAAGAAAATCGTGAATACGGCACCATTAATCTTGCAACATCTATAAATATTCCTTGACACCGTATTTAGTAGGTAGTAGGCTTATCTTCATTTAGCATAAAAGACCTGTAGCATTTTTTGTGCTCAAACTGTCAAAAAATATCCTTTGTTATTCTTTGTAAGATATCTTCTGTAATATCCTATTCTTTGTTAGTCGATTCTTCATAGTTGTATATCTGTTTCGTAGTTGTTGAGAACTGTTTTGTTGCCTTTGGGTTTAGTAGTTCTATAGAAGTTTTAGTTTTTCCTATGTATTTTTTGAAATGCCCTTATGTGGAAACAAATGCTACTAAAATTTTTTATTAATCAGTTATTAATAGATTAAAATTTTACAAAAAATTACTTGGTATGCATTTGCTGAGATTTTAAGTTTATCATGACTAATAAATTGCATTAGGTATGTCTTCCGGAACCATTCGTTTATATATGATGATTTCAATTTAGTTTTAATGTATTATTTGATAGATATGAAGCATTACTAGATTGGGTATCTCTAGTAAAAACTATTGTAAAAGTTATCAAATTGTTTGAAAAAAAGTGATTGAGAAAAATACTACGTCACTGTCTAGATCTCCACAGGCAAAGTATTAACAATATAGTAGATTTCTGTTTTAGGGAATTGACAAAGATAGACACAATCCACTTTAAACGAGATGTTACTATACATGGTTGATGATATAAAGTTATTTTCTAATGATATCAAAACATCTCTTGAACCTCAAAAGTGAGTTCCAATACTTTCTTAGCCAGGTCTGAATTATTTTAAATGTCAAAGAAATGTATAAATATTTTGAAACCCGAATTTTATTTAATAAAATCTACTTTTGTTTTGAAACTTAATTAAGTTAAATTATTTTTGGCCCTGAGTTGTTATAGTATACATATTGAAACACAGATGAATTCTAAAAAATTGTAATATTCTTAACTCATTGCTTTCCTTCTTAACCCAATAACTCGTACTCTTCATTATATGTAATTTTAGATTGCAAAACGTAATAAATATTCAAGCGCATTCAGAGTCACTAAATCGCGTTAAAATAATTGAACCCAAACCTCTGTCAATAACTGAGTAAATCCCCTTTTCACTGTGGAACTACGAAGGAGTTGGAGTGGGTTTTGGGTGTTTTTAGTTTAACTGTAATATTTTTTGTGCCATATCCAAACATTTTGCGTTGGAAATGAGGTTTCGACTTGTGATTGCTGTTTTGGCGCTTTAATAGCGTCACTCAACCATCAAAACTCAAACGAAAATATTTAAAAATAGTTTCGCTTTTCTCTAACTCAAAAAATTGCATACCGCAAAATAGTTTTTATGCCGCCTTTTTGCCAGTCGCAATTGCACATCAGAACGCCCCTTTTATTCTGTACTAATATTATAAGGGCAACAACAATGGACTCAGCACGAAAACATGCCGTTTGTTCTGACATCCTTTGAGTGGCATTATAAAATTTTTATGGCGTAAATCCTTTTGCGAATTCACTGCAAATTATTTTGATATTATCGCCCGATGCCATTGTTGTGGTCAATAAATTCACTCTACCGGCGCTGGGCGGCAGTATTGAAACTGAAAGGATATTCATTTTCCAAATAAAGTATAATAGAATAGTTGCTAGACTTATTAAATAGAGATTATAATACTCCACATTTTTTATACTGATAAGAACTGATATAAAGAAATTCATTATTATTATTATTTCCATACTTATGTTTTAAACCTTAACAAATATAATTATTTGATTTCAATTATCTGCTTACAACTTAAATTTATAAAATTGTATGAGAAGAAGCTTGCATTAAGAAATTCTATATCATGTTATTTTCAATACTATACTATACATAATAGTCATTTCAATTATCTACTTACTTTTTTCCTCAATTCACCCACAACTAGTATTTAACTTCGAAAACGTAGTCCCTTCTCTTGATAACTTGGTCTCATATATATATCCTATCTTTAAATAGATAATTCAGCAATTCTTTCCTCCAACAGAGGTATATGCGATAAACCATTTTCAACTAATCTACATAACAAATTCGAAGTAAAACGTCGACATATTCAATTTGCTTAGATTAAATCATTGTTATTATTTACAGAACATCCTGTATACACAAAACTCTGTATTTCTGTTATAAGAATGGATGAGTATCTCAACATTATTTTTATTAAACTAGCGATCTTACCTAGCTGATGTAACGCTGAATATATGAAAAGCCAACCGAGTCCGAGTCTTCTCTGCTTTGATGTCTTACGCATATCTTTCCACCTAAAGCATTGAACATACCATCAGAAATCGTATTACCCCATTAAAAATTGTTACACCAACATTTTTGCTTTTATTTTATATATTTTTGTTGTTTAGATGTTTCCTTTTTTGTTGCTTATGTTGTTTGCTGCTTTTATTGTCCTTTTTGTTGTTGACATGCAATTTGAAATTGCATACGAGCTTTTTTTGCAAGAACTACAGAAGCACATGTGACTTATTGTGCAGTCCATGGTCAATAAAAAATGCATTTCCAATTACAACCATGCAACCACAAATTTTTGTCCACTTCCCACACTGCCCACGTATTCACTGAGCTTCACGCTTAACTTTGGCTCCGAACTCCTCTCCCAAGTGGTGGTCATAATATTAACTGTAGTCTGTAGTCTTATAGTTGCAATAATTCATATTCGTATTTGCAGGACACTTGCAACTTTGCAAGGATACTTGTTTATGAAATTTTAATGGAATTGTTTAGATCGCATGTAGTCAACGTATGCAGTTCGATTAGAGCACATATAAAATTAATGTAATTTTATTGTTAGTTAGCAAAAATAAAATATAATCAAATATAATAATATAATAATTATTCATCAGTGCACTCTAAGCAGTTTTAATCTACTTGTCTAAACAATACCTTACCTGTCTAAACAATCTCTGGTTGGTAAAGAATCTCCAACTGCGGCACAACTTTTTTTGATTTTTTCATTGAAATATATCTGGAAAAGTTACCTGCCGCCATTTTGTCATATTTTACAAAAATTAATTTTGAGAAAAACCAGATATATTTATTGTGCATTTGACATATTCGAGGATGGGTCTACTTGCGCTTGCGCATAGTAGTGACTTTCTTTTTAGGCTTCCCCTTCTTACGTTTTAATTTCTGTGCGCATTCCTTACAAACGGCATGTTTACGTTTAAATTCAGCTGAAACGTAAGTGGGACGCTCTTCATCGTTCGAACTATTTGTAACGGACGTTAATGAAAAATCAGATGAGAAGTCTTCCAAACCGCCAGAAGTGGATGGTGTTTCTTGAGCTATTTTCTCGAACGCGTCTTCCGTATCACAGATGTTAAAATAGTGAAGATGATACTTTCTGATATACTTGTCATTTACTCCTTTCTCTAAAGCTGAATACATTTCTGTCTTCAATGTCTTTTTTTTGATATTCGATTTTAATTGCTCAAAAGCAGTTAATTCTTCTAGCGTGGCAGGTGAACCGAATTCTTCCAGAATTCGAAGTATCTTCAACTTTGAAATTAGAGGCATGTTTATTTATTCTAATAAACAACAATTTTGCAGCAAAAACGATTTCTTTTCTAAAAGATATAGTTTGTTAAAACAAAAAATATATACACAACCGATTATATCAATTTTAGTATGAAATTTAATCAAGAAAAAATTAGTTTGACATTTTAATCTAAGTTGCGATGATTTCAATATAAAAAAACAAAGAGTAAAGGTGAACAGCACTACTTTTCAAATAAAGTGCAATAATAGCACTTTTATTATATTTTTGTTAGGTTAGGTTAAATAAGAGTAGCGACCGCGTGCATCAAAACCCACCTGAGGGAAAATAATGGTACCACCAAAGTAAAAATAAAAAAAACACTTATCTATAATTTTTTAAACATATTTTTATTATAATAATAATTGCAATTACACGAATTTTATGCAAATTTTACCACATTGTAATGTAGTACATATTTGATTCTGCAAGGCCGTAGTTTTTTTTTTATTTTATTGAGGAAATTTTAAGTTTCAAAATTTTTTGAAAACTATTATTATGCATAAAAATATCAAAAAAATATAAATGAATGATAAATAATATAAAATCAATGTCTTAAAATGATATAAAAATTTTAAGTTACTCTATCAAGTTTTGCTCTTTTAAGCTAAAATATAGAGCTGTCTCTTATCTCTTATATATTTAGAATAGAAATTATTATAAGCTATATCGCTATCAAATCTCTTCTAGTCTTCTCTTTTCATTTATCATCAAAGATTCCTTTTCTATAAAGATTTTCAAGATTTACTGTTATGATTTCACATTAAAATATTAATTTATAAACATTTTTCTGTCATATAGTAGAATGTCACGCTACTATCATGACATAATACCAGCAGTCCAACTCTTTGAACATAAAATATGGAGTCGACCCTACTTTTTGCATTTATAAATATGATAGTAGCCTTTAGTAGTCAATTACTTTCCTATATGCTATTTCCCATTTTTAAATAATTTTATGTAATTAAAATCCTATCTTCTCTAATAACTAGATCAATATCTAATAGAAAGATAACGTATTCAAAATATAAATAAAATTATAATTATTTATTTGAGTCCTTGGTTGGGTTTTTGTACTATGCAAAGAAGAACCAGGTATATTGTAATAAAAAAAATTTGACATAAACTCAATATAAGTAAAAAAATAAATTTATAAGTAAAATTTAAGTTACTTAAAAATTAATAAAAGGATTAATAAATAAAAGTAAAACTTTTTAAATTGCCTTGCTTTTCCATATTAATACAAATTTTTTAATAACATCTATACTAACATATATAAAAGCTACATTTTTTTAACTTAATATTACATATAAATATATATTATATTGTGATTCTTTAAAGTGCTATATCAGATTCAGAGTTATAAGTAAATGTATAATCTTGAGATATAATTAAAAATTATTTTATATGGCTTTTTATGATATACTTTTAATTGTTTAATTTGATATTGTAGAGAAAATAATTTTTTTTTATGTTCATACTCCAAAATTTCAAAAGGATAAGGATAAAAATTATTAAATAAATCTTATATTTAGTTAAAAAATGATTTTCGAAGTTTAAAGTATTTTAATTTCAAATAAAACATAGTTTAGATCTAATCAAGTCAATTATATGAACACATGAATTTTCACTTCTAAATTTATCAAGGATTTAAATAATAATATTTTATATATAACAATTACTACAATAACTTATCATTTAACTGACAGTAGACTTTTCTGTGATGCCTATAGTTATTAACATTTTATTATCAAAGTAATTAGTGCTGCTGTATTTGTATTTAAGTTAACTTTTTTCTATATATAATACTTTACTTTCTCTATTTATGAACATCAAAAAATATCTTGATTTGATTTAAATAAATGTTGTAGAGCGCTTGAAGCAAAATATATGACTGGCAAAAGCCTTTTAAATATAATTTATTAATTTATTTGCATGTCGCACTATTTACTGTATAATAATAAATATATGATTCCATGAGATTTTATTATATTTCTATATATTTTAAAAGTTGGATATAATATTTAATATATTCTATATTGTATATTGTATATAGGCTCAGAAAAAACTGTATATAACTATGAATTCATATTCTCAATAGTCATTTCGAAGCATTCGGGTTCTATACCTATTATAATATATCATTTCATTAAAACTCTTTAGGCTCTGTTAAATAATTGAACTTTCAGTATTATGCTAAGGTAAATACACTCGTACATATCATATATAGTAATATGAGACGTATACATTTTCAAGTTTTATAACTACACAACAAACGCATGTTATATATATATATCGGTTAATGGCATGTCTGCAATAATTTTATATAAAATGAAATAGCAATTTATATAATTTACTTTATAAATCTGTTGTGTAAAATATTTTTAATTCTTATTTCGCATAGCCATTAGCTAAGAAGTAAAAAATTTTGATATCCTTATTCTTCTGATTTTCTTAACAATCCTTTAGCTATGAGATAAAAGGCAAGAAATTTTGATCTTCGTACTCTTCGGTTCCCTTATAACTCTTTATAAGTTTGTTTCTGACTATATCATTCAGTTCAATTAAATTTAATTTAATTGAAATTATTAAGTTTTTATAATAATTTATAGTAAAATTCATAAATAAATAGTTAGATCAACTGTCACTATTGGAAAAATTCAGTTTTAATATGCAATTTACTTTTTAATATTTTAAACTTAGTTATATATTAAATTTGATTAAAAATCAGTTTTTATTTCTTTTTATATTTATTATATAAACTTTAAATACAGATTTTCGTACGTACATTAATATAACTTTAATATTGAACATACAAACATTATATGGAAAAAACAGTATTATTTAATTAAGAATATTTGGATTCTTGTAAATATTTTATTCTCATATGGAAAAATTTCAGGTTTTTGTTTATGTTTTTGTTTTTGTATATTCGGCTCTTATTTCTTTTATTTAATTGAAAATTGTACATTTATGATTTTAAATACTTATTAATATTATTACACATTTAAATATTATTAAACAACGAAATATATGCTTCTATATTGAATACATCGAATTGTAGTTATTGTAGACATATAATATTTATATCATATATAATTTCTGTTGAAAAAATTTCTTAAGCTTAAAAATTTTTATGGTAAAAAAATTAAAAAAAAATACAGTTTTTTATTATTATTAAAATTAAATATTTTTTAAAAAATAGATTTAAAACATGTAGTGGTGTTTAAGTGTATATATGTTTTTGTGTGGAGTTTTTTTATATATGTATATTCGTGTAGGTGTGCTTGGCGTGCTTATTTTACTGTGTTTGCTGTTGTATTTCAATTTTCTCCACTGTCATGTCTGGATTCATAGCTGTTGCCTCCTGTAATATTTAAAAGTAATATAATTAATTTTATTTTATTTACTGTATATATGGAAAGTAATATTACCTGTATTGCCTCAGCTAAAGCTTTGTCATGATCAATTGGGTCACCATCGGATTGTATGGTTATCTTTTGTTCCACGCGTGTTTCAACAATGCCATCTCTTTCAGTTTTATACTAACATTTTGAACAGAAAAGATGCATAATATATATAATTATATTTAATGAATCAATAGATTAAATAGATTAAAAACAATTTGTGTTTTTAAAGTGCATAAAGCAAAAAGAGTTTAAAATTAAAGACATCGTCAGCAGTTCTTTTAATCAAAGGTATTTTTATTATATTATGGTATTTATGTATGCATTTTTTATATTAGTGATATTTTTATATTATTATTTAGGATAGTTAATAAATCCATATAAACCCAGTAATGCCTATTAAACCGTGTAATATTTTCATTATATCAAATTAGGGAACTCATTATTTTTATGATTAATAAACATTTGCATATGGTTTTTGATTTTCATTGTTTATCCAGAATTTAAACATTATAAAAAGGGCGAAGGACCTAGTAGTCGAGTTTTTATTCTTAGTTAACTTTAAAATGAATTTTAGTGTTAACACATAAATAAATAAATAAACATTATAAAAACTCTAATATATCATCAATAAAGAATAATATATATATAAAACTAATAGAAGATTATAAAAAACGCTTATTCAGTTCTTTAATGAGGTGGAACACAAAATACGCTTGCGTTTTCTATTTATGCGATTTTAATATCTATACTTTCTATTTCTATAGTTCTATACTTAAAAGTACATATATGTATTTACAAGAATAAGAGACTGAAATGATTTTCCGAAAAACGCCACATAAACAATGTTATATTGTATATATGTATATATTCTACAAGGAGGACATATATAAACATTATATACAATCATATTCAATGATTTTTTTTTTACAATACGAAAATTCTAAAATCTTCCAACTAACATAAAATGATGATATTTAAGTAAAGTAAGTAAAGTCAATTGAACGCGTATACTTTAGAAGTTTGTACATAAAGAACAAGACAAGATTTCTGATACTTACGGTTATGGTTTCAACTGTTCGTGTTTTACTGCTCACAGTTTGTGATGATACAATTTCGCCATGTCCAGAATATCCTGGCATATCTTCGCCAAGCACAACGCGGGTTTGTTCAACACGTGGTCCAGTGGTTGTAGTTGATGTGGTGGAGGTTTCATACAAAGGAGATTGCTGTGACGGCACAAATATTTTAAAATAAATTAATATAACCAAATATACTAAAAAGTAGCATCTACTCATCCATTTAATATAACTCATATATATATATTCTGTATTAGTGTTATACTGTATTATATTATAATATTATATATTAAAATGTCATGCAAACAAACCTTATAGCTTGTTGAACTTCGCAACACACTGGAGCCATCATAGGGCCCATCAATTGGTGTACCAGAATCGCCAGAACTTGTTGATGAAATACTGTCACGTCTTTGGAACTGATCGTTCGGTACGTTTTAAATGCATATAATAGTTTTACAATAACAATAACAAAAAATGCAAATGGTTACATATTAAAATAAAATAAAACAAATACAATTTAAAAAAACCAAATTATTTATAAATAAATTTAATTAAATGATTTTCTCAAAACATTTTAAAAAACGACATGCAAACTACACAATTCGTGCAACTTCAATCATGAATCCGAAAGTTTACAATCCATTCATGGTTTATTATAAGCTATCTCTCTTTCAGTCTACTTCTTTCTCTTTCTTTCTTTAATTTACATGCACTCCATATTTAATTTTTTAGTTAACGAAAGAAATAATCTGTAAACTGTAATCTTCTCTTGTTCAGAGTAAGGACTCTGATCTTTCTCCTAATCTTCTTTAACGCAATGGAATAAATGATAATTTGAACAAAAAAATTAATGCAAATTTTACATATATTTCTTTTTATAAGAAAAAAATATAATTACAAAATACTTCACGTGGCTTCGCTATTATTTATCATTTATTCCTCAATTAAAATTCTATTGCAGTAGCACAAAAGACCATAATCCGACTCTGCTACATCGGGAGTCTAAATTCCTAGTGTATAATAATTCTAGCTTTCTATTGTAATCGCTTTCGCACACTGATTCGCAAAATTAGCGTAAGAGCTCTTTGCTTACCTGATCCCCACTCGTCACTGTGGCCGTTGTTTTGACTTCTTGGGTGACAACCCGTTGTTCCTGTTTGTTTGGGTCATGAGTTCTAGTTGTGGCTACAGTTTTCTCTTCCAACTGCTCGGTTTTGGCTTTCTTGCCCAAATCTTCATGCGTCGTGGCTGTGCGAGTGGTAACTGCTGTAGCTTGTACATAAGCACCGCTGAGGTCAATTGCAGGAGCGTCAGCCTGTTAATGCGCAAATGCAAGAGTGGTTGCAGGCACGAGGGGATTACCAAATAAAAATGTAAAAATTAAACGTGTTAAATGAAAAATTAGAAATGAAAACAATAGAATGAAATTCGGACAAGAACGGAAAGAGCAGAGAAGCATTCCAAGCATATAGACTATATAATTAACATAAAATATAATGATATTGTTAGGATTTTAATAACGAGTTTTTCAAAATTAAACTTTGAACAGAACACTTAAAAATTTAATTAAACAGAAATAAATAAATAATTATTAATATTAGTAAGAAGTGCAAGCAATAATTACATTTTTTATCTCAAAAAAAAGTTAAAAGCCAGATATAATCTAAATTGCACCAAAAATAGTTTATAAAGCTTGCACGATTTTGAAAAAAGCTGTATTAATGTGACTTTCACTATTTACTATACCTTACCACCAGCTTTTAAAATACATATTCTCCTATTTGCTAGCATTAGAAATAAAATAATGTTTTGACTTGCTAACCTTGTGTTCCTGTGTTGAGAATGTCACTTCGCCTGTTCCCAAATTGCGTACTTCTTCCTCTACATTATGTGTTACACCATCGTCATTCTTCGTTAGCACCTGTTTTGTTGTTGTTTTCACAACAGTTGGTGTGCTCACATATTTACCCAATTTAGTTGTTTGCGTTGTACCTCCTACTTGCTTTGGACTACCTAAAACCAAGTCCTTGACAATTTCAGCGCCGTATTGTTGTGTCATATCATCATCGGAACTTGCTTCAGAATCACGGCGTAATGCATTTTTGCCCATGTGCTTAACACCATCAAAGAATTGTTGACGTGTGATTGGAACGGTCTCAGTAGTCGTGCTCACTTGAGCTTGTTTACCAAAGTGTGATGGATCGATTTGCGCATAATTGAGGATAAGTTTTCCAGTGACAGGATCGCGTACAGCAGTTGCTGGATCAATGTCGCCAGTGTTTGGATCAATGTCACCATACTCGCTCTTGATACGTCCAGTTACAGGATCAATTTCGCCACTCAATGTCATAGTATGCGTAACAGTCGTGCGTGCTCCAGCAAAACGTGGATCATTCGGGTCAACCTGTATAATTTCACCTGTTATTGGATCTATCATATTATAAACATAAACAGTTTTATTGAAAAATTTAAGCACACGACCAGAGACTGGATCAATTTCACAGGTCTCTGGATCGATTTCTTCTGGTCTGCCTCGTTCATCTGTTTTCGAGATAAGCAATATACGCACAATGACAATTTTTCCTGTCTTGGGATCAACCCGACCAACTTTAGTGTAAACTTCACCAGATTCTGGATCAACTTGTGTTGTGGCATACAGTGGTTCACCAGTGGTCTTATCGACTTCTCCAGTAGCAGTATAGATTTTACCGGAAGTTGGTTCAATTTTGATTGTATTAGGATCAAGTTTGGTTTGTTTTTTAACTTCATTGGTTTTGGGATCAAGATAACCATATATAGTGATGACATAGCCGGTCTTAGGATCAACGCTGCTGGAGATGTACTGTAGTTCTTTAGTGTTTGGATCAGTAGCACCAGTTGGTACCCAAATTTGATTAGATTTAGGATCAACCACGATTTCTTTGTCTTTAGCTGAGCTAACGTGTGCAATAGGTGCCTTTGTTTTGGGATCCACACGCTGCTGTACAATACGCAATGATATAACTCGCGCATAATCCTTGTCTGGTTTGTTATTCTTGGGATTAATTTGGTTCTTAAGCACAATTTGACCAGTTGCAGGATCAATTTTAATGTCACGTGTAACAGTTTTACCAGTTTTTGGATCAGTGAAGGTTATTGTGTGTTTAACCAAATCTATTTGTCCGTATTTAGTATCAATTTTTCCAGCTTTAGGATCAAACTGACCACCAGACGTTTCAACTTGAGCAGTTTTTGGATCAATAACATTTTTCTTTGCGTCGTATTTACCTGATAAGGATGTAACTTCAACAATTGGATCAATTTGTTGTCCCACTTCGATAATACGTCCTTGGGTAGGATCAACCTTGCCTGTTTTTGGATCCGTTATACCCAAAATAGTGATCTGACCTGTGGCTGGATCAACTTTAACATTTTTAGACACAACAATTTTACCAGTTTTTGGATCTATAGCTTTAAGTTCGCCAGTTTTAAGGTTAATTTCGCCATATTTGGTATCCAGCAATCCGGTATCGGTATTCAGTACACCTAATGAACGTTCAACTTCTCCGTTTACTGTATCAACCTTTCCTGTTGCAGGATCTATGCGACTAGTAATAACAGTAAGCTCAACGACAGGATCATCTTGGGGAGTAATACATATTATTTGACCCAATGAGTCATCAGAGCGGCCTGTATTTGGATCGGCAACACCGGTGACCAAATGTACATTACCGGTTTTGGGATCAACTTCTCCTTGATGTGTTTCGTTTTGTCCAGTTTTAGTGCTAAGCGCGGTTAGTGTTCCTTTTTTAGGATCGATCAAACCATATTTGGTATCAATTAGACCTGTCTTTGGGTCAAGTATGCCAGTAGAGTGTTCAATCTGTCCATTTTCTGCATCAATACGTTTAGTAGTTGGATCGAATTTCGACGTAATAACCATTATCTTAACACGTTTTTTCTTTGGCTTGCCTGCGGCTGCACCAGCGCCAACGCTTGGAAAACCAGCACCTGATTTACTAGGCGTACCAGGAGTTCCAGCTGCCTTGCCATCTCTACCAGCACCAACAACACCGGGTGCAACACCAATACCATATCCGTCTTTATCTGGAGAAACGGAACCAGGTTCCTTGTTATAACGTTGTGATTCAAGAAAAGCGGCGGTTGGATCAGTTAATGGTTTATAACTACCTGGAGCCCCTGAACTATAGCCATAACCCTTTGTAGGCGAATAAGAACGTTTTTGTGCATCGCTTAGTGGTGAAGCGGCAGCATCTACTGCACTACCTTGCAACTTAGCACGCGTAGTTGGAGACAAATTTGCATCCTTTAATAATTTTGCTTTTGTAGTGGGTGACAATTGTCCTTTGTTAATTTTTTCACGTGTTCTAGGAGATAATTGACCAGATTTCAATTTCTCAGCGGTTTTCTTTAATGCGTCTTCATTACCAGGCGCATAACTAAAAGCAAGTCCAATTTTCTTTTGTTCAGATGTTGGCGATAATTGCTCTTGTCCCTCTTGTCCACGTTTAGCACCGTTTGGATCTTGATCATAACGGAAACCACCAGGTATATATGATTTACGTGTCGGGCTAGTTTCACCGTTGCCTTCTACGTACTCATACGGACGAGTATGACTGGGAGTGTTAGATGCACGATTCTTATCATTGTTATCCTGATCACCAATACCACTAGTAGAAACAAGTGTAAGTTCGCCTCTGCCAGGCTTATCTTTACCATCTTTGTCTTTAGAAGACTTTTCTTTTGTATCTTTAGCTGGTGAACCACTTTTGCTCCTACGGCCAGACGAAAATAGACCACCACCCTAAATATGCGGTTTATAGTAGATTGCGATTGTTGTTTTACGATTGATGAGGCGCAATTACATAATTTCATTGAATCAAATAAAGAAAAATAAAAAAAAAATAAAAAAAAATTTTAATTAAATCAGGAAACTATAAAATAAAACTAAACTATTTATAAGATAAATAAAATTAGGATGAACTCAAATTAAATTCGGACTACAGGTTCAATCAATCAATAAACAACTTATAGTCATTTTTCAATGGATGCATGAATTGGGACACATTTAATAAGATATCGTTTCCATTGCAAACATTTTTAGGAGTGCTATAGATTACATTTAATCATACACATATTGCTTATATATACACCCCTATTTAAATAAACGTACTCTATAAATACATAGATAACAATACAGCTTAGTATTGTTGTAATATACTTACACGTCCCTTTCCAGATTTATCAGATTTATTAGAATCATTCAAGTCATCATTTCCTGTAAATTGAGTTTAATAATTAGTTGTTCAGGTAATTATGCTTTAACAATTGTTCACATAGGTATATAAAAAGTATATATATTTTTCTTTTAATTATTATGATAAATCAATTTTAATTGTTTATTCGGAATTTCGCACTCAATTAAACAGAGTACTTTTATAAAGAAATATTTACCATTGATACCTTCTGCGGCGGCAGCAGCGGCAGCAGCGGCAGCAGCGGCTTTAGCTGCTTTGTCCGCTTTATCCTTTAACTCTTTTTCCTTCTTTTCGCGCTCTTTTCGCTCCTTCTCTTCTTTTTCCTTTTGTTTTTTCTCCTTTAGCTTAACTTCCTTATCAGCATCCACACCAGCGCCGACCTATTCGTTTGATAATAAAAATCAGCATCAGTTTTTTTCGTTTCAAAACCTTCCGCTTCTTGTGAAAGACAGACAAGACACAAAAGATTCAAACAAATATATTATATATTATTACAAGCTTCTGCATGCTGCCACTTATACTCAAACTAAACTTCCGGTTAGTAAGAAAAATTGGAAAAAATAGAGAAAAGTTTTGACTAAGCGTTACTGTGAATTTTTTCCAATGTTTTTTGAGTGCTTGCTGTGGCTGAAAACAAAATTCACTTTCGCTGGGACTAAACTTTTCTCTGCCTTTTTCTTGGATTAGTAAAATCTTTAAGTCTACTGGATTTGTGTGTGTCTGTTAATTTTGAGAATAAATTTTTTATAAATTTACAAAGTAATGTGTGTGTAGGGTGTATTTGATACGTTTTGGAAATGGAAAACATCATATATTTACAACCAATTGATTTTTTTCGCATTGGACGATGGGGGAACTCACACAAATCTCAGTGATTTGTTAATCAGCGCAAAATAAATAATTATATTTAAAATTAATCATTATATACATAGAGGTATTTAAAATTAAAAAAGCACATTTAAAAATGTTAGAGGTAAGACATCACATTTATAATAATCCATATTGCAAATTAGGCTTAAAATTAAATTTAATAAAAATACTTAAGATATTAATTTACAAAATAAATACACTGAAACAAATATAACTTAATTAAGTAAACAACAAAATGCGATCATTTATCGTAAAAATAAGTTTATGGATTTAAAGTAAACTTAGAACTTATGCTTTTAATATTAAAAATGTTTATAGACGTTTCCTACAAAAATTATTTGTAAAAGTTTTTCTTTTATTATTTTAGTGAAGTTAGCAAGCACTTTGAATGTTTTTTTTTTCATTTTCTCATTTTCATATAAGTGCATTTTGCTGGTATTTGTCACTAGGTCAATAAAATTTGATTGAAAAATAAAACTATCAACAGGTACTCAAACAATTTAAAAATTATTAGAGACCACTTAATGTAAAATTAAATTTTTACATTAAGTGAATTAAGTGCACACCATTCTTCTGTCATTATTCACTCATTGATGCCACTTCGGTAATAACTTTTTTGAAATCAGTCTCATCGGATGATCTATTACAAACTATATAAGATGACTTTACATTGAGGTCATTTTTATTTTAGACCTGATTGATTTAATTACTTTAAAAAATTATCTAAAGGGCTTTTTTCCATATTCTGCTTATTTTCATGTTAGATTTATCAAAAAAAAAATTATATTAAGTAAAACATTATAAAAATTGGATATATCAATTTTTACAAAGTTTATCAATTTTTACAATCAGCATTAGAGATCTACAAAAAGATATCACTTTGAAAAAAAACTAAATATATATTGCAAAATATAATCATTTAAGTGATCCTACGCATAGTTAGTTTTTTAATATTTTCGATCTAACATATTACTCTCATTCTTTTCGAAAAAAAGCTCTACTACAGATTATACCTAGCAGTTGAGAATCTTATAAGTAAACCAAGTCATAAGTTAAAAACTACATCTTGAGAAGCTTCAGATAAAGCCATTGAAAATAATAGTAAAAACTAAAGAGCAAATCAAATGCTACAAAAAATATTAACTCAGCAAAGAATCGAAATAAATTTTATCAGATAGAAAAAAAATTGAAAAGTTAATTAGGAAAGAAAAAGTTTATATAACCTGCACATCACTAATGTAGGCTACTGCTGAAGCTTCTTCAGCAACAGCAGCACCGGCTTCGGCATCGCCGGCCTCGTAATCACCCTCAATTGAACTCTGGGAAGAGGCTGAACCAGTACCAGTGCTCGATTCACGTATTAACTAAATTTTTATTCGGTGGTTTCGTTTTTTAGCGATTTAATTAATTTTTTCATTATTCAGTGTAAAAAATTTAAACAGAATGGTACACATTCCATACACGTTTTCACGGTTTACATTTTTATGGGCGATGTTAGGATTTGTGAAACGGTGCGTTTATATTTTTGGAAAAATGTGTTATCAGTAGTGTGTTATTACGAGTAAGTGTATTTAGTTATATTTAGTAAATGCATATTGGAGAATTTGTTATCAAGAATATTTTGGTTAGTTACAAAAAACAATTCAACCGAGAAAAGGAAGAAAAAATTGTTAAAAATCTGTTAATCTCTCATATGTCGAAACAAAATTTTCAAATATAACGGGAATGATTTACATTTATAATTAAATACCGAAACGAACAAAAAATACCTTTTCTTTTTTGTCCTTCTTCAATGGACTGCGACTACGTGATGAGTCTAAATCAGGTATATGCTCTGGAGGATGTCCCATCGTATGACGTTTTTGGGCATCTTTCTCTTTTTCATCTAATGCTAAAGCTTGAAATTATTTACAAAAAAAATGTTAGATATTGCTGTTTAATAAATTATTCTTAAAACTTACCATCCATACTTCTGGAAGTCAAACGTCTACCAGACAAACTTCGATCGAACTTGGGTGCAGCACGATCAACGGGATTTTTCTTACTTTCGTACATAGTGCGACCAGAGTACCTATACTTGGATCCAAAACGTGGGAATAGGGTCGACTTGTTTTGAGGTTCTGGTGTCATCAGGCGGAAGAATGTATGATGTTCTACACATGACTTCCATAATTTTTTAGCAGCGCGATGATTAGCTAACTTAAAGCCAATTGTAGATTCATATTGCTCAAACTCACCAGGTCGAATTTTAATATAGAAATGGTGGCGCTTATAAGATATTTTTAAAATCTTAGGCCAAGCAAAGCGATTGATACGAAGTCTGTAAATATTTAAATAATCATAAATGATAATTTTATTGATATAAAACAATTATTAGTACAAATTTTAAATTTTATATACCATTTCACAAATGATATACTCATTGATTAAAATTCTAATTCGTAATAAATGCCAAGAATCACATTTTTAATAGTATATTATATAAAAAAATTGCATTAAAAAACATCATACATGTATAATAATAAACATGAAATAACAATAATCTTTATATATATATCTTTATATAAAATAAATATTTTCTGCCCAACAAGGTATAATTTTATTCAATGGGACTCACCGAGGATAACGTATTTTGAGATATGTGTATTGAAAGGTATATATATATAATATATATATATTAATATAACTTAAAATTTAAAAATTTTTTTAAATACAATAAAATATAAAAAAATTTTTAAATGGATTTTGTATGAAAAAGGCACATATTGATACATGTTTGTCGAGTTGTGTACATTAGTCTTAGCAAAACATAATACATATTTTATTCGAATTATAATCGGAAATCTGAATGATTGATATATGGTATATAAAACTAATCAATGCAACATTGAAATATACAATTTTGAGTTTGTGGCATCGCGTTTGCTTCAATCAAATAATAAATTAATTAATTTTGAGATCAAAATTATTTATAACAAGTTAAATAATATTATAATTGAGTACACAATTTGTGAAGATAATATTTTAAAATATACATATTTTCTATATAATATTTTAAAAGATACATATTTCTCGATATGACTTACTTGTCCCGATAAACTAATAAACCGCTAGCACAAACACCGAGCATTATGTCCACACCTTCCGAATCTTTTGCTGGATGCAAATCAACACCATACATAGCAAGTTTCTTAGCATTTTCTAAATAATTCAGCTCAGCCTCAGCTGGAGATTGGCCTCTGTTATTAAAAAGAATTAATTTAATTTAATTATTAACAACGATAAAGGTAAACGGATCAACTTACTTATGTGTCTTATGAAGTTCCATTACTTTCTGCTCTAACTCTGGAGTTTGATCTGGTGCAATTTTAAAATCTTTTAAATAGTTTGCATTGGACATCTCTTTTGGATCATAATCGCCCATCTCAGATTGTACCAAATAAGAACCCAGCAAAGTATGTGTAACAATACTGCATGGTAAACGTCCTTCCAGTATATCATTACGAACTTGTAAACACAAATGATAACGAGTAATATCCTCCTGTAGTTGTGATGGTTCTGGTGGGTAAAATTTAACCGCAAACTGTAATATCCAAGGATCAGTGCGGAAAAATTTTGCGACTGGTTTTTCCAAATCTAACCAAACACGTGGATCTACAGATGTCTCATATAAGAGACCGAAGTAATCCTTTTCTACAATGTTAAGACCAGCACAAATGGTGTTCAACAAATCACGTCCCTTGACTTTGCGCTAATAATAGATTTGAAGTTTGGTTCAAAATTTTTTCTAAAAAAAATATATAAATAGCATACTTACATCAATATTTACATCAAGTATGGAGCCATCAAGCAATGTGACACGTGCTAAAGCAGCTCTCGATGATGAAGCAACCGGTTTTTTGGCCTTAGTTGGTGTATCGGCCTCTGGACCAGCGGTGGGTGCGGTTTTTGTTTCCGCTGGCATTGTTTCAGTGAGAATTTATGTCTACGATTTGTTGGGAATTAATTTCGAAAAAACTGAAAAAATAGATTTTCAAAATAAATAATAATAAGTAAAAGTTTTAATAAGAAATTACTATTTGGTATATATAATACAAATTAACAATAGCATCTTATTTTACTACGAATAATATAAATACAAAGATATGATATATGACTACTCGTATACAGATATTTATCATTTTTAATAATAATAATTTCAATTAATGGGACCCAACATTCCTCTACTCAAGTGATACGAATACATCACAATGTAAGAAGTTTTTATGTATACTGATTATTCAATTAAATTAAATTTGATTAAACTTAATTTGCAAAGATCACGAATAGTTTTCAAGTATAAGAGTAAAATGTTAATATGTACAGAATCGACCTCCGCCAACAATTGAGAAAGCAAACCATTTGTGAATGACAATAGCTGTACTAAAGCTCCAGTAGTGTTTTCTTTCATAAGATGAAATGAACTAAGTATATTTGTTTAATATACAAATTAAGACAATAAAATAAATCAGTGTACCTGTTAGATGTATTCCTTGAACAAAGCAATAAGTTTTTATTAGTTTCTTTCTATATTTCTATAACTAACATGCAGTGCTGAAACTACATTTACCAAACATTTACTAATTTAATTATCAACTCACACTTAACCTCAGGAGTATCATGAATTCACGGTTAATTTAATTAATGTTACACAGTACACATTTAAAGCTTTATGTGACTAATATAAACTTATACTTGTAGCTACAATGTAGATACAAACATTCATTCCACAGGTACAACAGGAAAGGCACTCATACATTTGAAATATATATACAAGATTACAAGAGACTGAAAAGATGCTTTTAATTGTCCATCACAATAGAAGGTAAATATTGATTTCCTCATACTGCTCCCTACTTAAAAACAGAAAGGATAAATTAAATTAAGCCTGTGCTAAAAGCATTAATTAAGTTGTGTGTCCCTGAACACAGCCTACGGAAATTCTACAAAAATAAAATTTCATAAAAGTGATTTTGAGATCAATAAATTATTTTTGTTCATGAAATTTATTCTTAATAAAATTTAGAAGGACATAATTTCATAATAACATTTTAAATCTTCAACAGAATTTAGTTTCAGATATGCTTAATTTTTTATTATTGAACTTATTTACAATTTACAATTTAAGAGAATCTATTCAAAACAAAGACATTGCACCAAACTTAGCAGTAAATAAATTAAATATAATTAAGTAGCGATTCGGAACCATTATCGTTTCAAAAGTTACTCTTCTGCTTATTTTCCATTTGTACAACGTGAAATTCGATACTTTTGAAGTTAAAATAGGTAATTGGGTACACTTTTGTATTCAATATACATACACTCCAAGGGCACGAAGAGCTCATGGCAGCATGAATTTTCCAATGGGAATAGAGACGTCTGTCCAAATAAGGAAAGAAGGAATAAATTATTACCGCTTGTGCGTAGATAATTTTATTAAATTTCAAAGAGTTGGGTGCGTCAAAGTGTGGAGAAACTTTAATGGGTTCTGATTCCATTAAAGCACACTTTTTATAGTGAAGAAATTGAATAAACTATTCCAAAGTATAAAATAGTACAATATATTATACTATTTATAAAATAGTATAAACTAGTAAATATTAATAAGAGTACTATATACATATAATACTACTATTACATCAACAATGGAGTACGGTCGTAGAACACAGAAATAGAAGAACACATATAAGCAGAAAAAAGGGACATCTTTATTTTCTCTAAATAATTTTAACTGTAGACTCTCTTAAAGCACATTTTGATTATCATTAACTTAAATACTATAAAATTGTAATCGCAAATGTTTCCCATAAGTATCCAGAATAACAACCCCTTGGTTTCGTAAACTTAAAAATGCCCAAGGGTTTAATATATTTTCTGTCATGAAATTAAGTACTTATCACACTAGCGGAAAGTCCTTCTCAAATGGAGAGTGGGAATACATACGTATTCAGATTACTTGCAGTACACATATTTTGCAAATGAAGCACATTTAATCACCCCTTAACATGGTCATAACTCCGACATAAGCACATCTCTAAGAGAGTTTGTGGGGACATCATAAATGTAATTGCTTCGTGTTCACTTTATGATTTAAGTTAAAAAATATTTTGATATATAAGTAAATGTGAACCAAGCAATAATTAAAAGCAAAAATAGCATAAATTCAATCGTTTCCAAAAAATATCAATATGCATACTATATAGTATATGAATATTACAAAACGTTTAAAAATTTTAAAGAAGTTAACTAAAATTTTGTTAAAAGTTATAGTAATTAATATTCAAGTTTGTTGACACTACGCGCGTATGGTTTACTAGTTTCATACACTAAACGATAGGTAAGTTAATATAAATTAACACATCATTGGTGTGAGTATTAGCGGCACAAGTATATGATAACTTCCATAGGCGATAACTTATTTTTAAAAAAAAATTATCTTTATCTATGTTTTTCTAAAAACCACTAAACATCATTTTAATCAAAGCACATATGTATTTCAGAAAGTTGAAAGTATACTTAAAAAACACAAAACAGCTAGTTTGTTTATATTTATAGATATAGTCTTAAAAGTCTTATCAACAAAAGATTTTAATATTCGAATACGTATATGCGTCAGAGCTTATTATTTAAATAATAGACGTTTTATGGGTTCCCCAATCAACAGAATGTATTAACAGTCTGAAACGTTGAATATATAGACTTTTCAAAGTCATAGGTTATAATATAATGACGAACTAAACTCATTATTCATATCAATATAAATAAGCTAAACGGTACTTTAATCTTAAGAGATTTGAATTCAAATTAATGATTCACTCAGAATATATTTAAACTGAACTATATTAACTTCTAAAAATTTTAAAAAGTTTAAAACGATACGTTGACTGATTGTTATGGATGGAAAAAGCAAGATATCTAAAGAGATAACTTATTCTCTCTCTCTCTTTTCTAAAATATCTATCCGATATTCGTAATGTATGCATTAATGACATTGTTCGTTTTATAGCTCGCTTTACTCGTTCATATCATAGAACTCATATCTGGTTACTTATATCTAATTTGCTTCATAACAATCATCTTAACATATCTAATAAACATTCATTCGCAATTGCGTGATGGGCGTATACCTACAAAAATAAAACTAAAGTTATTAGTAATTTTTTTTGACTAAATATTTTCATCCTAATAAAAACTTTTTCATCTCAACAATTTTTATTTACCTTTCAATACTATAACACAATAATCTTCTCATGATTTCACAAAAAAATCATGTCATTTTAATTACAATGCGGTAGGCTACATAAAATTCATCATTCTTCTTTCCAAAAACCCATTTTATCTGCTTAGGACTATTAAGTTCAAGTTATGAGTCTTCTTCACAAAGTTGCCTTAAAACAATAAATGGGCGCCATAGCTCATATTCTTAGGATTCAGTAGAAGTTTTACAATAAACAAAGATACATTGTTTTACGTTGTCGCCTCTTTATGACTTTGTTAGCTTGTTCATTACTATTTGCTGCACAACATCCTTTAAATGAAGGACCTAATAAATAGTAATGACAGACAACTACCAGCAAAAGCAACAAATTTAGATTTCAACACATTTTATTAAAGTTTGCATGGCAGTTGATGAATTTCCGGTACTTATTGTGGGCGCTTGCTGTAATTATTTCACGACTACACTCATAAAGTGTGCCATAAAAAGGGCCGGGAAATTTACGAAACAGCCAGACAGGCGTCTGCACACTTACTACCTAAATAATAGTCAATTAAAGGAACATAGTAAAAAAAGAGTAAAACGCAATAAGGCAAATTTGTAAGAACAAAAGGACTTACGACAAGTCAGAAACAAGCCCGTATGAATTATAAGCGATTTGACAATAAGAAAAGTAAACGAAAACACTTAAACAAAATTAATTCAAAAAAAATTTTATTAGTGGATCGGCAGTGAAACAGAAGAATTAAATTAGAAAAATGAAGAGAAGTGAAAATGTCTTGAAAATGTCAAGAACTGAACTGAGAATTGCGGAAAGCACTCTCATATCGGTTGCCGGTCATAGGAACATAGAAGGCAATGAGATAGCAGACAGTTTTCTAAAAAACCATTAAGATTGCACCTATCATGCACTAAACTTATCAACTGCTAAGCTGAGTGCAAATCTTTAAGGTCACTGACGTCAAGGAACCCACACAGTGAAACTGTAAAATCCTCTTCAACATTTCTAGTAGAACTTACGAAAACGTAAACGAAGAAAAAGAACTACACACTTTCTCTGTGACTGTACAGCTTTGGTCTATAAAAGGAATAGACTTTTAGGTAAGTGCCATCTTAACAGTCTGTCAGACAGTTTATCAATGAAAACAATAGATCTGTTGAAGTAGATAAGAAGACAACTAGATGAATCTAGTTTTTCTACATGGTATCTGCCGATCGATGACTGCAGCCAAATAACCAACTAACCAACTTTAACTGTAAACTTTAAATGAGTTACTAAAATTCTGTTGTTATGTCCGATCATATAGAAGACATCTGCAATATCTACGAAACCAGTATTTTTTGTAGATATTTTTCAACTGCCAAACGATCCGCACTCAATATTTGGAGGTGTTACTTTTTTTAAAAAAATATTGTATATGTCACAGTTAGTTATATAACAATATAAATCGCTACAATTCGTCCATTTATTATTTCCATTGCATTCGAACACAAAAATTGAAACGTTGGTGTAAAATCAAAATTTAGCAAACGTGGGTGTGTTTGTTTAGTTTCTGGATGAGAAAAACACTACTTCCTTAACCGTTTCACACCCTGTATTTAAATTGAAAGCAACAATTTAAGAAGAAGGAAACGCGTGTCGAATAAAAGACAATAAAACAGCGATTTCGCGCCTTGAAAGTATTTATGGGCGCGTAACTTAGATACAAAATGTACACTTCCTTAAGTTTTTTTTTTGCTAAGTTTTGTTTCTTCGTATTTTAGACACCTTTTTCTGTGTCATATTTCCAAAGTGTTTCCACCCACAAACTTCACATCCAATTAAAAGTAATGGAGATGCTACTATTTTCCAGTTTTATCAATTATAATTATTTTATCTTCAAATTTCAAGATCTTCGGCAGAATTTATATTAAAGGAAAATTAAATTTGAAATCAGATTAAGAAACTTTCATTGAGGGCGTTGCCCCTGACTTCACTGCAAAGTTTTTTCCTTCACTCGGAATGATGTCAATGTTGTTTTCGTCTGTGGGTAATTGGGTAATTGAAAGTCAACAGGGTGTAGGTAATAAAATGAGATAGTTCTGAATGAAATCATATAATTTAAAATACAAAATGAATTAAAAATACTGAATTTTTTCATAATAAATTAAAAGACTTACTTCAAAAGAATGTCGATTAATTAAGCTGTTCATGCAATTTTGTTATTTCTCTGAGAGGAAATGATTAATGCTGTAAATATACAGAAATAAATAAATACATTTAATGAACTATGAAAGAAATTTTGCATTTATATATTAAAAAATTATATATGAATTAATAAATAAAAATAAAAATTTTATTAAATGTTTAAAACAATTTATGAAAGTTACAACAAATGTTTGAACTACAATTTTATTTTATTTTATTTTATTACATCAACTCGACTATTTTTATTTATGATACATATTGATACATAAATAAATACAGTTAAATGCCACTAGTAAAGATACATGTTTGAGTATAGATACGAAAACCACTAAACAAAAAATGGTAATTGATGACGCCAACTTATTTAACAGAAGTGATGTCATAATATATGTAGCAGAAATCTAATAAAAATTTATTAACTCGGCTTATCTGCAAACAAATTAATAATGCAAACTTTTATCGCAAAAAATGTATTCATTTCGAAAAAGAATTCATTATGAATGAAACAACATTAAAGTATATATAGTAAATAAAGTGGAAAAGTATAGTAAATTACGGAGCTTATCAAATGTGCCAGATTAAAGAAATATTTATTAAAATCAAAATGAAATTGTTTTGTTATTGAAGCCGTTTCATTTATTTATATACAAACTTAAGTAAGCAAGAAAAAATACATACGGATATTTCATAAAATATATTTCTGCAACTGAAACCCAAAGAAGAAACGTAAAATTATTTATTACACGGCGATAAAATAATGCATAATAAAACATAATTTTTATATTTCAAATCAGAATTCAATTTTATACAAATATATAATATTCATATTAAACAAAAGCAAAAGTATTGGAACAAAATATCCTAAATGCATCTTAAGAATACACTTAGAAGAGAAGCTGTTAACCTAAGTTAACCCAACCTTAACAGTAGTGTGAGTCTATAAAATAACTGTATATAAAAGTGACAACAAAGTACCTGCAAAAACTCTTATTAAAACCAAACAGTTGCAACTAGACCTAAATGTACTAGATCTAAATAAGTTGAGTTTAAAGAACAAAATAGCTTTGTTTAGAAAATCATATTAAAAATTATCTAGCTATATGTCATACAACTTGGGGAAGTATATACAATATAGAAATATTGAAAAGTTCTGATACCAATCTGACACACTTAAGTGCTGTCAAAATTGCATTGTATTTAACTAAGATTTCTGTAAGAAACTTAAATATAGATATCAGTTTAACATACGTATAGTGTTCTGATGATACAAGTTCAATAACAGTTCTTCTTGTTCATTATTTAAATGGAGTGTTAAGTTGTCGACTTCAAGGTTCACTTGATATTGTTTCTGCTTGCTCTTTACAGTGTGCGGCTACCCCACTTCTAATTATGACTTTTAATTCAAATAACACATGAAGATTGCCCGTTTTCACCGAAAGAAATTAATAAGGAAAATAATTTCTTTGAGACTTTCTTTAGATAATGTCTATATAACCAATAACAATCTTAAAAATAAAAAGAAAAATCCATTTAAAATAAAATTATTTGTCTGTTTAAAATGACGTAAAATTTAATATATAGATAGATACTTGTGTACATTAATGATGTATAACAATTAAGAATTAATACACTTTCGTAATCTATAAATATACAAAAGAACATTTTTATTTTAATTTTACAAAACCATTAGATACTAAATTTATATCACTTATAGATAGATAATAACTCTTCCAACATAGTTTACTATTAAATCAAAACATATGCAGTTTTTCAAATCTTTAACAGCCAAAGATATTAATACTTTAATCATGTGAATATTATGCTAACAACAATTTACTTTGATATATTTTTCAAAAGCGTGTTTCTCAATGCTTTTAAGTGATTAAATTCAAATTAATTTGAATAAATTCTTAAAGGAAACAAATTGTAAACAGAGCAAAAGATTAAAAGCAGCACTCCCAAACAAACCAACAAATCAGTGATTCCATTCACAAATATAAAAAAGAATTTTAAAAATACAAGCAACAAACGAAGAAGCAAATCTAAGCTACAAAGTTTATAAACAAAAAGCAGACACATGAGTCTTTATGTTTATAAACTTAAATGATTGGCAACAAAAGCAACAGTTCCAAATTCTTTGAGCAAAATTTATGTTAATTAAGTATTGCAAAAACACCAAAAAAAATATTATTTTTATAAAATGTTATAAAAATTAGATTTAAAAAAGAATCAATTAGGAAAGTCGATCTACGAGTTATTGTTGTGTTTTGGTTTTTTTTTATATATATTTTTTGGAAAGTGTTCTGTTTGTATTCACTTGATTTAGAATAAATTCAGAAATGACATAAGTGTGCGGCCTTTATTTTTGTATTCTTGAGCACAAATGTGCCGCATAAATTTCAAGTAATAAAATAAATTTTATACAAAATTATATACACACTCGAGCCGGCACATATTTACATATATGCATATTGTACATATACACATCCAACCACAAACACTACTAACCATTAATATTAAGACAGTTTACTTTATTTGTGTAAGTAATTATGTTTGGAACATCAAAAATAAAACTTTTAAGAATATAATTAAATTTAATAATACTCATTTCTTTAGTAACATCCATAAGCTATATTATTATTTGTAATTCCTAGACCTCAATTGCTGTATTAATAGTAAAGATACGTAATGTAGATACTCGTTTATATATATATATATATATACATATATTATTGGTACAGCATATGGTTATTTTTGAAAACATGAGATTCTAAAATTTCTACATTTGTTTTGGATGTTTTAACCAAATGCACTTGAACTTAAATTTATAATTTTAATAAAAAAAAATATAGAAAAGTAAGAAAGAACTAGTAATCATATTTGAAGCTAACAGAACTGGAAATCAAGATATAAATATGATACATTGTAACATACAAGTTATGTAGAGTTAGTTAGAATGAATTATTATTCATTAACAAATAAATTATGACATGATTAATTTTATGAAAAACTTGTGACTAATTTTATGAAAAATTAGTCATTACTAATTTTTTAATACTACAAATTTAGGAAATTATTTAGCTTTCATTGAAGCTTAAAATGCTTTAAAATTAAAATCTGAAATGTGCGATCTTGTTGCATTCAAGCATTAATTTTCAAAAGCACGTAGTTTCAAAATAGTTAAATTTTATATAAAATAATAGAAATAAAGCAAAAGTGGTAAGTCATTTAAAAAAAACATTACTTGATTAATTTGAAACAATAACATGGAATTGTAAACTTAACTATAAACAAAAAGTCATTTATAGCTTTTATCTATTACTTCTATTAGTCATTAAATCAAGTTTAGTTCGCATGGACGAAACGCAATTACGTCTGTCCTAAATTGGATAATAGAAAATATATTTGTTTTGAAATTTATTTACTATTATTTTTCATCAAATAATATTTGCACAACATAGCGTATGCGTAACGTTTATAAACAAAGCAAAATAAAAGATATATCGAATTGCAGAACTGCAGTACAAAAAAAGCTGTAAGTGCAGTAGAACTCTTCATCGATGACATCATTTTCGCATTTGCAACTTTGCTTGCAGATTGCATGCAACAAAACAATCATTAATGTTCCATGTAATTTAAATATACGAATGTACGAAGCGCAAAGTGCTTTCGAAACTTACTAATTTTATATATAATGAAACCATATGCGAATAGATTATAAAAAATTGATTGCAATTATCTTAAGACATGAAAGTATACAAATTAAATATTGATTTTTAATAATCGTTTTATATTTGAAACTTTTTAGAAAAATTGATTCCAACTTTACTTCTGTAATATGCAATATTATCTAATTTATTTGAAAATTTCTCATCTGCTATATATTATATTGCTGCTATTAGTTTTAGGAAATTAATAATAATTGTAAATTAGGCATATGAAAGAAGCAGAGCATAATTTATTGCTCCTAGATCCCATAGACACTAAATAATTCACTGAAACGAAACTTACGAGCACATAATACCTAGTCAACCTATGTAATAATTGAAAAAATCACATTAAAACTTTCTCAAACGTCCTAAATTATCTACAAAGTAAGCAAAACCATGCTTCAAGATGGTTTGTAATTATACGAAACCTACTAAGCTTAACATTGAAATTAAAACTATATTAAAGTTAAAGTAAATATTATATCTTCAACTGTAGTGAAGATACAACTCTTTCTACATAATTGCATAGTTTGGTTAGTAAATTTAAAGAACACAAATGAAGGCAATCAAAATCAAAATATATTACATATATATAGGATACATTAGACTAAATGTTATGTATTGATAACATATATCTAACTTTTGTGAAGTCTCTAGTAAAATTTCATTTCATAACTATCTTTACCATGTATTAACTATTGACATTTCACCGTTACTATTGACATTACTCATCACAATAAATTCAAAACAAATGTTTAGTTAATTATAACTCTAATTGAATATGACAAACTAAAGCACTTATCACTTTTTCAAATTAAATATCTTATTTATTGCTTACTGTTTACTTTATCCTTCATTATTAATGCAAACAATTTTTTAAATTATTATTGTTTTTCTTACTTATATATAACATCAAATCTAAAGACAAAGAAACAGCATGATGTGCCTCTGGCTTGTATCTATAATTGCCCTCAATTAAGAAATATCTCCAATATACAAAAACAACAAAAACACTATTGAAAATAAAATTGTTTTTTAACTGTTAGTCTCAAAGTCAATACGATGCTAGGTTAACAGCAAAAATTGCAGCAAAAACGCATCAATTTCTTTTAATTGATCTCAAAGTAAGCAAAATCGAAGCAAACAATTATAGAAAAAATTGTATTGAGAAAAAGTTCGATTTATCGTTGCAGTATCTGGTCTACAATGAACGAAATGCAATTTATTGCAGCTCTCCAGTTTCACAATTTTTTTAATTGCTTTAATTTGTCAATTTTAATTGATTATTGTAAAGTATTTTACTTCACTTCACCTCTCCCATCTTTTGTTAGG